GAAAACAATTACCCTGCGACGTACCCAACCCTTTCTATACATGTGGTGGTTACATTCGGGACCACTCAATGCTGACGGGCATGCTGAAAAACCCGCAGCGCGGAAGAAAAGCACCCATCAGTGAATCAGGAGCCAACGAAAGTGGCGACAGTTGCGCAGATCGCAACCCCCCCCCCAGGGCGCCGCGAGGTCTCGAGGTGGTCCGCGTGGGACGTACTTCCGCTGGGCATCCCAGGAGCCAACGAAAGTGGTGACAATTGCGCAGATCGCAGCCCCCCAGGGCACCGCGAGGTGCCTCCCAGGAGCCAACGAAAGTGGCGACAATTGCGCAGATCGCAGCCCCCCAGGGCGCCGCGAGGTCTCGAGGTGGTCCGCGTGGGACGTCCTTCCGCTGGGGCCTCCCAGGAGCCCCCGAAAGCGGCGACAGTTGCGCAAATCGCAGCACCCCAGGGCGCCGCAAGTTCTCGGGATGGTTCTCGTGGGACGTACCTCTGCTGGGCCTCCGAGGAGTCCACGCAAATGGCGACAGTTGCGCAGATCGCACCCCCCCAGGGCGCCGCGAGGTCTCGAGGTGGTCCGCGTGGGACGTCCTTCCGCTGGGCCTCCCAGGAGCCAACGAAAGTGGTGACAGTTGCGCAGATCGCAGCCCCCCAGGGCGCCGCGAGGTCTCCAGGTAATCCGCGTGGGACGCACCTCTGCTGGGCCTCCCAGGGGCCCACGAACGTGGCGACAGTTGCGCAGATCGCAGCCCCCCAGGGCACCGCGAGATCTCGAGGTGGTCCGCGTGGGGCGTACCTCCGCTGGGCCTCCCAGGCGCCCGCGAGAGTGGCGACAATGACAATTGCGCAGATCGCAGCCCCCCAGGGGGCGGCGAGATACCGAGGTGATCCGCGTGGGAGCCACCTCCGCTGGGCCTCCCGGGCGCCCACGAAAGCGTCGACAATTGCGCAGATCCCAAGCCCCCCAGGGGGCGGCGAGGTACCGAGGTGATCCGCGTGGCCTCCCAGGAGCCCACGAAAATGGGGACAATTGCGCAGATTGCAAGCCCCCCAGGGGGCGGCGAGGCACCGAGGTGATCCGCGTGGGACCTACCTCCGCTGGGCCTCCCGGGAGCCCACGAAAGTGGTGACAGTTGCGCAGATCCCAGGCCCCCCAGGGGGCGGCGAGGTACCGCAGTGATCCGCGTGGGACCCACCTCTGCTGGGCCTCCCAAGAGCCAACGAAAGTGGCGAGAATTGCGCAGATCGCAAGCCCCCCAGGGCGGCGAGGTACCGAGGTGATCCGCGTGGGACCCACCTCCGCTGGGCCTCCCAGGAGCTCACAAAAGTAGCGACAGTTGCGCAGATCGCAGCCCGACGGCACGAGGGAAGAGGGGAGGGGAACACCGGAAACAGAAACAGGAGAGAAGGAGGAGCGGAGGAGATGGGAGGAGAAGGAAGGAAGGAAGGAAGGAAGGAAGGACTGGGCGACCACACTGCTCTATTCAAAACGAGTGCCCAACTCAGGAGGGTGGAGAACAATACGAATAATCCGAATGATGAAAAAATCCAGACCATCAATAATATTGATAATCAGATACTTGTCACAAATATTAAAATGCGAATGATCAATAAGCATAAAATTGTGAAAATAAGCAACGGGGGGTCATGACACTGGGGAGATTTCATGGCCGCGGCCATGCTAGGAGTACACCCCTACACATATATATATATATATATATATATATATATATACATGTGTATAGTCTTCCTCCTCCCCTTCGTGGACGCCCCCGATGCACCTGACCCGCGCTCTCCTCGCTTTGGCCGGGGCTCTCCAGGAGGCTCACGAGCACTGGGATGAACGCCTCCATGGGGAACGAGAGCAAGGCCTCCTCGGTGCTGAAGCTGAGGTACTCGGACAGCTCCGTGAGCGCTGCGAGCTGGCGCGCGCTGTCGCCGCTCTTCAGGTCCCGGAGCATCGACGAGAACTGCGTGCCCCCGCCCTCCTTTCCGCAGAAGGCACGCATGCGCCACCACCATGGCTGACCAGCTCCATCCTGTGCCCCAGGATGGTGTACAGACCCCCTGGCCCTGGCCAGGTGGGCGTATGCACCATGCCGAGGCCCAGGGCGGCCTTGGCCAGACATGGCCAGTAGTGATGAGTGGGAGCCCTCTGCGTGTCCTTCTCCAGCTGCGAGGTACGCCTCAGGAGGAAGCCCAGTGCGCCGTACCCGCCCGGAGGTCCGCCGATGGATCCCGACGAGCCTTGCCCTGAAGCCAGCTCCAGCATGTCCTCCATGCCCTCGTCGCTCTGGCCGCCCTCGTCGCTCTCGGAGTCCCCCTCGGGGGCTTCACAGGGCCAACGGGGGGCGAGAGAGGTAAAAAGGGGCCTTGCGGTGCGACGGCCTGGCTTTGGACGCCCGACATGAGTACGGAGAAAACTGGTTGTTGCCCAACAACACGGGTTGTCCAAAACTGGCTGCGGCCGCTGTTGGGCAGCCGGCCGTCTGTCCCAAATGGACAACGTCTGCGGGGACACCGACAGCAAGTCCTGTTCGAAGTGCGCAAGAACTTCTGTCGACATGAAATAAACGGGTCCTGCATGAAGGAAACAGGTCCTGGACCCCAGGACCCTCCCCCCGGACGAGTTCTTCACCTTGAAAAATGTTTCTGACAGTCTCGGGGCCCGTGGAAGGCCCCGAGAATCTGAAAACGGCAAATTACCCTGGCGACGTCAATGCGGGGCATGAGTAGCTTGGGCGCATATACTGCTGAGAGCGGCATTCGTGAGGCTCGCAGCCCCCCAGGCACGGCGAGATCCCGCTCCGATCTGCGCGGTGCCTATCTCCGTTGGACCCACCAGCAGCCCTCGAAAGTGGCGACAATTTCGCAGATCGCAGCCCTCAGGGACGGCAAGGTCCCGCTCAGATCTGCGCGGTGCCTCACTCCGCTGGACCCACCAGCAGCCCTCGAAAGTGGCGACAGTTCCGCAGATCGCAGCCTCCCAGGCACGGCGAGGTCCCGCTCAGATCTGCGCAGTGCCACACTCCGCTGGACCCGCCAGCAGCCCTCGAAAGTGGCGACAGTTCCGCAGATCGTAGTCCCCCAAGCACGGCGAGGTCTTGCTCAGATCTGCGCGGTGCCTCACTCCGCTGGACCGGACCCACCAGCAGCCCTCAAAAGTGGCTACAGTTCCGCAGATCGCAGCCCCCCCCAGGCACGGCGAGGTCTTGCTCAGATCTGCGCGGTGCCTCAGCCCTCGAAAGTGGCCACAGTTCCGCAGATCGCAGTCCCCCAGGCATGGCGAGGTCTTGCTCAGATCTGCGCGGTGCCTCACTCCGCTGGACCCACCAGCAGCCCTCGAAAGTGGCGACAGTTCCGCAGATCGCAGCCCCCCAGGGATGGCGAGGTCTTGCTCAGATCTGCGCGGTGCCTCACTCCGCTGGACCCCCAGCAGCCCTCGAAAGTGGCGACAGTTTCGCAGATTGCAGCCCCCTAGGGATGGCGAGGTCTAATCGAAGTCTGCGTGGGGCGTCACTCCGCTTGCCACCCCAGCAGCCCTCGAAAGTGGCGACAGTTTCACAGATCGCAACCCCCCAGGGATGGCGAGGTCCAATCTGAGTCTGCGTAGGGCGTCACTCCGCTGGACCCACCAGCAGCCCTCGAAAATGGCGACAGTTTCACAGATCGCAGCAACCCAGGGATGGCGAGGTCTAATCTGAGTCTGCGTAGGGCGTCACTCCGCTGGCCACCCCAGCAGCCCTTCAAAGTGGCGACAGTTTCACAGATCGCAGCCCCCCAGGGATGGCGAGGTCTAATTTGGGTCCGCGCGTGGCGTCACTCCGCTGGACCCCCAGCAGCCCTCGAAAGTGGAGACAGTTTCACAGATCGCAGCCCCCAAGGGATGGCGAGATCTAATTTGGATCCGCGCGTGGCGTCACTGTGCTGGGCCCCCCAGCAGGCCTCGAAAGCGGCGACAGTTTCACAGATCGCAGCCCCCCAGGGATGGCGAGGTCTAATTTGGGTCCGCGCGTGGCGTCACTGTGCTGGGCCCCCCAGCAGGCCTCGAAAGTAGCGACAGTTTCACAGATCGCAGCCGCCCGCAGGGAAATAAAGCAGGAAGCAGGACGAAGGAGGAGGGAGGGAGGCGGGAGGAGGGAAGGTGGAGACCACAGTCCCTTATCCAAAACGAATACCTCACCAAGGAGGATTGGGAAAAAACTTAGGACCCCTTCCCAGACACAAGACGGCATGATCTTTTCAGTGCGGGGTCGCCAAACGCCCCGACAATGTCCCCGGGACGACCGGTTTTACATCCTGAGTCGTCTCTGACGGTCCTGGGGCCCGGCGGGGGCCCCGAAAGGCTCAAAACGATAAAAAAAACCAGCGTCATGTGTTCTTCCCAACCCTCCTGTGTTGGGTACTCGTTTTGAATAGAGCAGTGTGGTCACCCCGTCCTCCTCCTCCTCCCCTCTCCTCCCCTCCTCATCTTCTGCCTCCTGTGTTCCCCTCGCCTCTTCCCTCGTGCCGTCGGGCTGCGATCTGCGCAACTGTCGCCACTTTCGTGGGCTCCTGGGAGGCCCAGCGGAGGTACGTCCCACGCGGATCACCTCGAGACCTCGCGGCGCCCTGGGGGCTGCGATCTGCGAAACTGTCCACACTTTCGTGGGCTCCTGGGAGGCCCAGCGGAGGTACGTCCCACGCGGACCACCTCGAGACCTCGCGGTGCCCTGGGGGGCTGCGATCTGCGCAACTGTCGCCACTTTCGTGGGCTCTTGGGAGGCCCAGCGGAGGTACGTCCCACGCGGACCACCTCGAGACCTCGCGGCGACCTGGGGGGCTGCGATCTGCGCAACTGTCGCCACTTTCGCGGGCTCCTGGGAGGCCCAGCGGAAGTACGTTCCACGCGGGCCACCTCGAGACCTCGCGGCGCCCTGGGGGGCTGCGATCTGCGCAACCGTCGCCACTTTCGTGGGCTCCTGGGAGGCCAAGCGGAGGTACGTCCCACGCGGACCACCTCGAGACCTCGCGGCGCCCTGGGGGGTTGCGATCTGCGCAACTGTCGCCACGTTCGTGGGCTCCTGGGAGGCCCAGCGGAGGTACGTCCCACGCAGATCACCTCGAGATCTCGCGGCGCCCTGGGGGGCTGCGATCTGCGCAAGTATCGCCACGGTCGTGGGCTCCTGGGAGGCCCAGCGGAAGTACGTCCCACGCGAACCACCTCGAGACCTCGCGGCGCCCTGGGGGGGGGTCTTCTTCTTCCGCACTGCGGGTTTTTCAGCATGCCCGTCAGCATAGATTGGTCCCGAATGTAACCACCAGATGTATAGAAAGGGTTGGGTACGTCGCAGGGTAATTGTCCCAATCCTCCTGTGTTGGGCACTCGTTTTGAATAGAGCAGTGTGGTCGCCCCGTCCTCCTCCTCCTACCCTCTCCTCCCCTCCTCCTCTCCTGTCTCCTGTGTTCCCCTCTCCTCTTCTCTCGTGCTGTCGGGCCGCGATCTGCGCAACTGTCGCCACTTTCGTGGGCTGCTGGGAGGCTCAGCGGAGGTACGTCCCAAGGGGATCACCTCGAGATCTCGCGGCGCCCTGGGGCTGCGATCTGCGCAACTGTCGCCACTTTCGTGGGCTCTGGGAGGCCCAGCGGAGGTACGTCCCACGCGGATCACCTCGAGACCTCGCGGTGCCCTGCGGAACTGCGACCTGCGCAACTGTCGCCCCTTGCGTGAGCTCCTGGGAGGCCCAGCGGAGGTAAGCCCAAGCGGGGGCTGCGATCTGCGCAACTGTCGCCACGTTCGTGGGCTCCTGGGAGGCCCAGCGGAGGTACGTCCCACGCGGATCACCTCGAGACCTCGCGGTGCCCTGCGGAACTGCGATCTGCGCAACTGTCGCCACGTTCGTGGGCTCCTGGGAGGCCCAGCGGAGGTACGTCCCACGCGGGGGCTGCGATCTGCGCAACTGTCCCACGTTCGTGGGCTCCTGGGAGGCCCAGCGGAGGTACGTCCCACGGGGACCACCTCGAGATCTCACGGTGCCCTGGGGGGTTGCGATCTGCGCAACTGTCGCCACGTTCGTGGGTTCCTGGGAGGCCCAGCGGAGGTACGTTCCACGCGGGCCACCTCGAGTCCTCGCGGCGCCCTGGGGGGGCTGCGATCTGCGCAACCGTCGCCACGGTCGTGGGCTCCTGGGAGGCCGAGCGGAAGTACGTCCCACGCGGACCACCTCGAGACCTCGCGGCGCCCTGGGGGGCTGCGATCACCGCAACTGTCGCCACTTGCGTGGGCTCCTGGGAGGCCCAGCGGAGGTACGTCTTACGCGTTGCCGCTGCTCTTCTTGCTGCGCTCTTCTGAGTTCACTGATGGGTGCTCTTCTTCCTCACTGCGGGTTTTTCAGCATGCCCGTCAGCATTGAGTGGTCCCGAATGTAACCACCGCATGTACAGAAAGGGCTGGGTACGTCGCAGGGCAATCTCTTTTTTACGACGCGAGCACGTCTGGGTTTCGCACAGGACCCGCTTCTCCTTCATTGGCGAGCATCCCTTTCGATCGCAGCGGCGGGGCGGCCGCACGCGGCGGCCTTGGCGAGGCCGCCGGCGCGGCGCGCCGCGAAAGCGACGCGGGGGGGGGGCGCTCGCGCGCGGCCTCGTGCGGGCAGCCGTCGCGCGGGCGTCCGGGGCAGGCTCCCCGGCGCCCCGCCGCTTCGCTGCTCGGGCGGGCGGCCCCGGGGGGGCGGCCCCCACGGGGGGGAAAAGGGCCCCTCTTGTGGAGCCAGCGGGCGCCCCAGAGGGGCCCGAAAGGGCCCCTTTGGGGCCCTGCTCTTCGCGCTCCGCACTTGTGCCACCTCGTGTTGCCTCACCAGCCTGGGACATATCCCTATCCCCCTGTGCTGGGCATCGTCTCATCACGAGGCCGATCTTAGGGATTCCCTCAGTCTCTGAGGGCGCATCCCTAAGGTTGTCATCGCCTTTTGGCGTGTCAATCTTAGGGATAGGGATAAGTTCGAGGCTGGTGATTGTCACCCACCCGAGCCGCATCGTCTCCCAGCGGTGGGCTTCCTGAGCGCCTGGCACCCTGCGGCCTTGGCTGCCCCGGTGCGCAGCACGCAGCCCGTGGTGTGTGGGCACGGAGCTCGGCACACGAACATGTTGAATACAGTACGTGCTGCGCTTCGAGAGGGACGTATCAGGGCAGCTACGCGTGCGAGGCATCTTCACAGCCTGTATAACTCCGCATATCGCACCCCGCGATGCGCGACGCGCGGTTATCTTCGTGCCCTCGCGCCGCCGCCCTGGAGAAGGGCACCTCTCTAACCCAAGCCGCGATGCGAACAACGCGATTGTCTT